TCCAGACATTTGAAAATATCGAATTAAAGGAATACATTTATCAAGTGTATTCTTTAAAGCCAAAAAATCCTTTTGAGTCCATTGTTTGAGATCGGAAGGCAAGTCTGGAACTTGTGCTTTACCCCATTGAAGAACTTTAACCCAAATTTCAGATTCTTCAATTTGTAAATCATCTCGCTTTAAAAGAGCTATCAACGCATTTTCGTGAATAGAAGTAAAGTCATCAGAATTAAAAACTAAGCCAGGATGTTTTGCAAGGATATCAGTACAAAAGGTTTGTAAAAGTTTAAAATTATTATCTTGAAAACAGATAGAATAAATTTGGGTAAATTTTAATCGAAGCCAAGATGTTTTGTTATCAATAAGGTAAGATTGAATGTATTCAATTAAGTCTGCTAGACCTAATTTGTTGGAAGAAACTAAAAGATCTAATATAGTGGATGGTTCAATCTTTTCTAAAAGAATTATACCTGTGTAAATATATCTAAGTCAAAAACCTTTAATTAGTATACTGGCAATTTTAGATCATCAGATGTGAAATTTACCAGACAACTATTTCCTGTTTGTGTTTGAGATAGAAAACTTAGTAAACTACGTATTCGGATCTCTAAAAATCTTAATTATTAACCCTGATTTTATCATTTTTGCGACAATAAAAGAAAGAATATACTGACAAATTTCACCTCTAATGAATTTTAACTATAGTTTATATTCATAAGAAAATAGTAACTTACTTAATTAAAATCTTAAAAGCTTCAACAGGAATATGATTTAATGTAATTTCAATAATATTATTCTTTTTAGCTGCGGTAGATAATTCTTTTCGGAAGAATGATGAACGTTGATATAAAACTAAAGAATGTAACTTAAAACTTTGTTTACCAACTTTAACTATAACATTATAATCGTATTCACTTTCAAGAAGTTGTGCAAAATCACTAGAGAAACGCTCAAGTAATTTAGTACCAATTTGTGACATTGGAAAAATGTGTTAATGTTAAATTCGATATTTTTACGAATATCGATATATATAAATATGGTACGGTGGCTTATCACATGATATATGCAATTGTGTAACATTGGAGCTATCACTGCACTATTTGAATATGTGCCAGGAAAAATTCTTTAAAGCTCGCGAACAAAAAATCTATATATATGTTCGATTACAACTGGTTCCTATATATAAATGTCAAGATTTTATCAAATAAATTTAATCTTTTTTTTGTCATGAAGTAAAGTTGTTAAAAAGATCAAAATACATATATTCTAAATTTTTATACAAATCAGATAATTTTCATTATATAACCATTGCTTTTAACAATCAACAAATATAAATTTTACTAATTTGTCAATCGTAAAATGCAAAAAAATGCGTTAATAAAAAAATTCTCCAATTTAGATGACTTTTTAGTGTAGATGTATTTTACCCTTCTTAAGAACTTAAGAGGCAAAAATCGATTTACGTAGTAAAATTTGACTTTCATATGTAGCGACGATTATCAATCGTAGAAGCAAAAGATGTTTAAGTTTTTAATCAAAAAGAAGAAGGTAACTTACTTTTAAAGGTGACAAACTTATGGTATATAACTATTTTATTGATTAAAAATACACGTTTTGCATCTATAGGAACATATTCATATGCTTAGAATTCTGAAATCTTATGCATATGCAGAATATTGGTGTTTAGGTCTTAAGATTGGGACCAGGTTATAATACTAAGGAGAGTGCACTTAAGGGCATGACTTTACTTAAATAGGTAAATGAGAAAACAAAAAATAGATATTGGAATAGTTCAATTTATACGATTCTATTAAGATGTCGCACAATTATGAATTCTTTAAGAAAATATTCTAAATTTTCTTAATAGTTAGCTTGCACAAATTTTAAAATTTATTGAGAAAAGGAACTAGAGGTGCAGGCGAATCGTCCCAATAATTGCCGTAACTAGTTACAACATAAGCGTTAGCCTAAGCTGTAACGTTATTGGGACGATACGCTTGCACCTCTAGAAGGAGCTATACTTCAGCTTAAGTCTCCAATAGCATTGATAAAATAATCCTCTCTAAATGCACAATTGTATAGTCCAGAGAAATTTATTTAATGAAGGTTCTTTGTATCTATATTCACAAGCTTAAATTTTCAAAACTTGAAATACTTCAAATTCATCAATTAAAAGATAAAGCTTATTAGCTATGAGTTGCTTTTCATAACGTTTGGGAATATGACGATATACCCATGACTTATTATCATCCTTCATATAGAAATGACTGCCGAAAACAGGGCCATGACCAGAAGAACATCCAATTATATCATTTTCATGAATAATTCTGCTAAGGATAGAACTAGGTAAACTTGGGTTTTTTAATGAAAAAATAAAACTATCAGTCGTTGTTGACCATTTAAATTGTTTATCATTTGACCAGACTAACGGATTATATCCACCAAGTATTTCATTTGTGTCTTTAACCTTTATAACAACCACAGTGCCTGGTAAATTATCGCATAATCTATGAAATGTCTCACGAGAAAATCCATCTTTACTTCCTCTAAGAAGTAAATTAAACTTGTAAGGTATTTTTGTAACATCATATATTGTCTGATGAC